GTGGCTGGAGACAGCCTGATAGTGCTGAGACTTAACCCTTGTACCATCAGAGAGGCCCCTCTTTTTATTTTTTTTCTTACTCAACTGGGGTGTAGGCCAGAGGTGCAGTAGGTAAGAGGATTCACCAGAGGCAGATTGGGGAGCAGAACAGGCAGTTCTACTGAAATACACTGCTACTGGGAACAGTGGGCAAAACAGAAGAGGTCTGCTGCGCCACGTGGGTTAGCTCCCTGGCCATGTGGGTTGGCTGCCTGGCTAGGGATTAAACTCTGCCCTTCACGGAGCTGAGACTACTCCTAGGCCACAAGGGAGGCCCTCAGCAAATGTTTTCTGTAAATGAACTGATAGCAAATGTATTAGGTGTTGTGGGCCATATGGTGTCTGAGAGAACTACTCAACTCTGCCAGCGCAGTATGAAAGCTGTCATAGACAGTGGGCAAAAGATTAAGTCTGGCTGTATTGTAATCAAACTTCATTTACAGGCAGTGCAAACAGCCTAGATTTGGCCGCTGGCTACAATTTGCCTACTTTGAGAGTGCAAGAGTCTAGACCATCTTTAATTCCAACACAGCTCCATGAAATAGAATTTTTCTTACAATGAGAATTTAAACGATGATAAACATTATTTGGATCTTCTTCCTTAGGTAGAATAGCCCAATCTCAAACTAGTAACAGATAAATGAGACTTAACCATAATCAGTACACATAACTAAAGTGGTATGAGCCATTTTCTCCATGAATCCAAGGGCACTGGAACCTTTCACACCATCTTTTGTTAATCCCTCACTATGCTGCATATGTAGTTGTCAGATGCTGGATATAGTCTGGGCACAAATTACTTCAAGCAAATAAGATAGATAGGTAGGTGCCAATCTTACAACTCTGGTTTCCCTTAGGAGCAAATGAGTAAAATATACATCATTTTGTGACTGTATAATATGTTCCAAAAAGTGTTGGGTTTTTTTGGGGGGGAGGAGGGGAGGAAAAAAGTTTCACACTAGCCTATTGCCAACAACTTGAAGTAGCTTTAAACTGTTATGATAACATTCACGAAGCCAATATGACATGCACATTCTTGTTCTTTGCTAATCTTCTGTTCCATCTTTCTCAAATGGGCAACTCTCTACATGGTTGAATAACTCTCAGTAAATCAAATATGCTTCAATTCCTAATAAAAGTATGAATCTAGTGGCTTAATTCCATTTTTATTTGTTCACACAGCAAGTATCATACAATTAATGGAGTTCTCATCCATACCTTACATTATGGAAACATTTTATGTATAAATGTTTGGAAAGTGAGAAAAAAATTATATGAAGGCAGCTACACTTAAATGATCAATAAAAAGACAAGCTATTTGTATAAATTATGGCCACTTGACTACTAAAGAAAGTTTCTCCTATGCACATATGTACAAATTTTATAGAGCTAAAAAGAAAAAAACAAAAACTGCTCAACATTAGAAACCAAAACAAACAGATAAAAATTGTAGACAGCAATATTTACATCAACTTGGAAGCATTACCTCTGGCTCTATACAGGCTTCCTAAATAAATGACTAAAGAAAGCCACAATAGGGCCTTGCTGGTGGCACAAGGGGTTAAGCACCTCACTATGAAGCAATCCGCAGCCTCTGCAGCACAAGTCCCATCCCCGGCCAGCCAGAGAGCAACCCACAAGGTGCAGCAGATCTCTCCTATTTTGCCTGCTGCTCCCCAAAGCAGTGTATTTCAGTCAGTCTGCCTGTTCTGGTCCCCACTCTGTCTCTGGTGAATCCTCTCACCTCCTCTCCCCGCATGTTTGGCCTACACCCCAGCTCTTGTATGTATAAATAAATAAATCTTTAAAAAAAAAAAAGAAAAATGAATATGTCAATGGTCTGTGGTAAGGGACTATTGGTGCTTTGGTGGTGGGTTGGTATGTTGACATATACCTGGGAAAATATGAACCTATTCCCCTAAATCATATACAGTGTTGTAAACCAATGTTAACCTCCATAAAAATAAAATTAATGTGGAATAGGAAATAAGAGTGGCATTGTCCAATCTAATCCAAAGATTTGCGAAGTAGGACAGGCACACACATCCTATTTGTAATTATGGATATTTAAGAATAAAATAAAAAAATATTTCTCCTATTTATGTTTTTTTCCAAAGAGCTTCTATGTTGTTACCACATAAACATTTATTAAATTCTTTAACCCAAACTACAACGAACTGAATCTAAGGGCACTGTGACAGGAAGCGCACCTTGACCCAAGTTTAAGAATCTTTAGCTTAAGCAAGAAGTGATAGAGCTACACAAAATTCACCAAGGAGCTATGTAGCCCTAAAGAAATTACTTCAAATAAAGTCTATAACACAAACACAGTAACCAAGAAAAGAATTTAGGTTAAAACCATTTTTAAAGGTCACTCTCAGTTGGCTTAATCCTTCAAATCCCATACAATGTCCCCTGGATAATTTGAGTCTAAAAAAAAAAACATCTAAAACACATGCACACAAATTACTGTTTTTCCAGTTCTTAGGGACTCAAATGAAGCTTTTAAAATTATAGCCTCCAAGCTATATTGGAAGAGACTGGGCCTCCCCTACACACACAGAACACACCCACAAAATCTGTGCCAAAGAAAAGGGGGAAGGTGGGCACCTTAAGCAAAATTGCCATGTCCCAGCACTTTGAGACTTTTTTGTAGTTTGCATCTTCTTCTTACTATCCTGACTTTAAATTCAATAAGAAAGCTCCAGTTTATTGCAGAAATGCTTACTTGGAAATTTCCCTTCTACCCAGTTTTTCATATTTAGATATTAGAAAAACAAGGGGGAAATTGAGACAAACTTCAGGTTACTGGTTCCTTGGGGGAGAGAAATGAGTGGGTGCCATGGGGGTGAGGTACTGCCCAACTCCAAAGTTCTGGGGATCTTCTTCTCTTGGGTGATGGATACTTGGGTATGCACTCTATTATTGATCTTTAAATTATACCTCTAAATGTTAAACTTTCTGAATGGCAGGGCCAGAATTTCTACATGGAAGGGCTTTAAGAGGTGGAGGTGTGCCTTGTCTTTAAGCCAAGTTGGATCACAAGCAGTCTGCTTTGTCATGGAGTACAGTAGTAGCCCTTACCCACTGGGGATGCATTCCAAAAACCACAGTAAATGCCTGAAATCTTGGATAGTATCAGACCCTATATATAGGGGGGCCTCCCTGATGGTGTAAGGGTTAAGTCTCAGAGCTATCACTGCTACACTCTGAGTTCCATCCCAGGCCAGGGAGCTAGCCCACATATGGCATAGCAGACCTCTCCTGTCTTGACCACTGCTCCCCTTAGCAGTGTATTTCAGTAAATTTACCTCTTCTGCTCCCCACTCTATCTCTGGTGAATCCTCTTACCTCCCGGACCTCTGGACTACACCTCAGTTCTTCTATGCAAAAATTAAATAAAATATTAATTATAAAAAGCCCTATACATACTATGCTTTTTCCTGATATGTACATAGCTATAATAAAGTTTAATTTATAAATAAGCCCAATAGGAATAAGAATTGTATGCATGTGGTCTCTCTCTCTCTCTCAAAATATCTTATTTGAACATATTTTCAGACCATAGGTAACTAAAACTATGGAAAGCAAAACCCCAGATAAGGAAAGGGCTACTATGTATCTGTATCTGGCGGGACTATGGAGAGGAATATGGGTTTAAATGCCAAGTTAAGGTTCATTTCTTATGTCATCACCAACAAACAGGAGTTGACAAATTAGCATTTCTTTATCACTGTTGGGAGGAATAAGTCCAACAATGTGCAACCAGTTGATTTGTGATCTCTTTTCCACCCTCCCCTCTTATGTCATAGAGGGCAGGAAACTTCCCATTTTAATTTATATCCCTAATTTAAAAAAAATCTTTTGCCAAGTGGGCATGACAGAAGGAAGTTATGCATTATTAGCTGTACCTACTGCATGCAAGAACAATAGGTATTTTTTAGGTTTGGGAAACCTCCCCACAGAGACAACCAGTACTCTGTGGGACCATCGTGGGACCACATTTGTTCGTCTTCATTGCCCAATTCTTTCCATTGACATTGGCCTAACAGACATTACCTAAATATGAGTATCATCATCCAACTGGTTCACAAAATGAACACCTAACATCTCAAAGCGCTATTTCACTTGCATCATTTCATTTAACTTCCACAACAATACTACCAGGGCATGCATAATACACCCAATTTACAGTTCTAAAAACCGAGGTTTAAAGAAGTGGGCTTTCCAATGTCACATCGCAAACAAGTGGTGGCATCAAGACTCCATCTCATGACCCCAAAGTGAATCTCTTAACCATCACTTGGACCATTTCACTAAGGTTCAGGGAAAACATTCCTGACCAGCTTTAGGAAATCCAAGCTTCTCTTCGATCACAAATCACATTCTACTTCCCCTCCCGCCCCCCAAATCTACCGGAAGCCCAAGACAAGTGTAGGTAAACTGGTGTCAACGTAAACCAGACAACATGCCCAGGAAATGCCACTTGCTAACTCTACAAAGCTCAATGACATCCAGAGTGGCTCTCCAGGGGCAAAAGAGGCCCCACACTCCCGCGCCAGCTCTGCTTTGCAGTCCTCAAGGTAGTGGCCGCAGGAGCCTGCTGGCGCGACCGCGTCCAGTCGGGGCGCTCCGGGCCCGACCCCCAGGCCAGGGGCCGCCACGGCGCGCTGGGAGACAGATGGGGACCCTCCAATGGGCCCGCAAGCCGCGCCCACCGCATCCGGGAGAAAGACCAAGCGACCCCTCTCCCTACCCACCACCACATTCTCAAAACTCCTTGAGTTCACAGGAGAACGAGAAGGTGGGCAGAGAAAGTTCTCTGACGCTCCCCAAAGTTCTATATTCCAGAGAGAAAACTGAGGCTAAGCCATAAAGGAGGTGCCCCCAGAATGGTCCCCCCAAAGCCCGGCGCTTTCTTGGAAACTCCAGGAGAGGGACTACGCGCTCTGTCTGGTCTCCTCCCCAAGCAGCAGCGATTTGGGGGCACCCCAGGGAGCAGCGCTCCCACCCCCCAATATCGTCCTGCCGGGGTCAGAGGCCCCCAGAGAGTGGGGGCCCCAGTTTGAGATGGATTTCGAAGGGCGCCGGTGGGCAGCGGGGTACCTTTCTTCAGCGCGCCGGCCGTCCGCGCCGCAGGGACCGGTGCCGGCCACAGCCTGGGGGGCGAGCGGAGACAAAGCAGACGGGCTCCCGCGGGGTCCGGCGGCCCCTGGGCCTCGGCGCCGCCCAGCGCCGCGCCTCCCGCAGCCCGCACGCCTGGCTGAGCTCCCGGCTCCCGCAGGGGACCTGTGGCCGAGCCCGCCGCGCCCGCCCGCACGGCCTCCGCCCCGCCCCGCCCCGTCCGCGCGCCCTCCCGCCCGCCCGCGCGCCTACACTGGGGCCGCAGCGCCCCGTAGCGGCCAGGCCGGGCCCCGCCGGCACCCGCTAGGAGGTGGGGTCCCGGGGCGCAGAGGCCGTCCCTGGGGTGTCCGGGTTCCCAGTTGGAGCCCCTGTCACTCCCGCGCACGCCAGCGTGGCCTCCTCAGGAGTGAGAGGAAAAGAGGCCGTGGTGGGGTGAGGCTTACCCGGCAGGGCCTGCCAGCGAGGCCTTGCCATCCTTCAAGCCCTGGCCAAGTGGATATTTCAGTATACCCGCTGTTCATGTAACAGGGGTCGCTCAGAGGAAGCTGAGCAACAGTGATGAAAGAGCCAGATGCCTTAGAGAGCTAGTGAGGGGAAAGTAAGCCAAGTGTGTCAACAACATTGAGGGTTCCTGACTCATGCATTCAAATCACACGCTACAGACCATTAACTCGGTCTGGGTTTGTCTGTTTTTCAGTTACTTCTGCAGTATCTAGATGAGTTCCCTGAACATAGCGAGCACTCAATAAATTATTGTTGAATGAATGTATGAATAAGTGGAACCTTCAAGAAGCATGACAATTAACTGCTCTCCAAAGACGGATAACTGGAGGGGAAGAGCTCGAACCCTAAATGGAGTTTCAGTCTTACCTGAAGGTTGGGACAAGTTTATTATGTTTGACAAGTTTATTTGATTATATCTGATTTCTTATCTCCTCTGAAATGACCTGGGGTGGTTTTTTGGTTTTTTTTTTTTTTTTTTTTTTTTTGAGGGGGGTGGAATCAAGACGATCTTTTTCTTAAGATATTTTGGTTTTCCTCTCTTCTTTGGGAAGCATTCATTGGTCTGGAGAAATCCAAATGGCCCCTACTCACACCAGCCAAGGTATGTGCTTGAAAGTCCCTTACTACTTCACAACATCTGCTTACCCCAGAGTCACTGCTTGCAGTTTTGCTTGACAGGGTGTGAAACCTCTCTTCTGAATGTCCTTTGACCATCTCCAGATTTGTCCCCCATCCCTGTCACTCTCCACCTAGAGATGTTGGAAGAACACATTTCCTTTCCTTAACCATCAATCACCCTGGATTTCTCCTCAGGTAAATCTCCATGGACTTCTAGGTGAACCCACAAAGTCAAGCTATGTACACATGATCTTTCAATCTGATCATTTCTTTCTTATATCTTTCCAGATTTAAGACTTTCCCTAGCTAGTCCCTTGAATATACTTTCAAAGAATCAGAGAGCTTCATTCCTCTGGGAAACTTTTGTAAATCACCATAAAGTTGAAATGAGGTGGAGTTTTAAGTTACATTTGTGGGCAGACAGAGCAATCACACATTAGTTTTGCTGAAGAAACAGAAAACCAAAACCAGCCTGCAAGACATGTGAATGCTCCTAGGACCTGACAGGTTTGCAGTTGTGCCCAGACTTTGATTAATGGGAATTCCAGGCAGGGGGCTTGGAGATCTTGCTTGCTCATCTCCAAGTGGGCACACAGCAAGCATTTGGGCAACTAATGAAAGGAGACTCCTGAACCTGTGTATGTGGAAAGTTTCCAGCCTGAAGATTTTAGCTCCGCTTTTCCCAGCTCAATCATCAAGCCTCAAATATCCTCATACTCACTACTCCTCTGTTTCTACCTCATGAAAAAATTAGTCTGCTCTGCCAATAATTTTCACTATTTTGTGAGAACATAATCTGCTCTGATTTTTAGCAATATTCCTTTATGACTAGACTGCAAAAGTTATCTGTTATGTTGTCAGCTGCAATTCATCCTTAAGCCCACCATTCTGACTTCTGTGCTTGCCAGTACTTGAAACTGCCCTTGCTAAGCCTTCCATTCAAGAATCTTCCAAGTGCCTGTCCATCATCATATGCTCCATCTCTTGAGGAAAACACCATACTAAACTTTGTGTTAATAAATCTCTTATAGGGCCTCCCTGGTGGCGCAAGGGGTTAAGCAATGCACTATGAAGTAATCTGGCAGCCTCTGCAGCACCGGTTTGATCCCCGGCCGGCCAGGGAGCAACCCACATGGCTCAACAGACCTCTCCTGTCTTGCTCCCCTCAGCAGTGTATTTCGGTCAGTCTGCCTGTTCTGTTCCCCACTCTGTCTCTGGTGAATCCTCTCACCCCCTGCAGCTCTGGCCTGTACCCCAGCTCTTGTGTGCATAAATAAATAAATCTTTTAAAATATATAATAATAAAAATCTCATATCTATATCACTAAACATGGTATTCTTTGAGCTTTTGTAAATAAAATCATTTCTGGGGCCTCCCTGGTGGCCGTGCAAGGGGATAAGATGCATACTACGAAGCTATCTGCAGCCACTGCAGCACGAGTTTGATCCCTGGCCAGGGAGGTGACTCACATGGCACAGCAGATCTCTCCTGTCTCACCCGCTGCTCCCCTCAGCGGTGTATTTCAGTAAATCCGCCTGTTCCGCTCTCCACTCTGTCTCTGGTGAATCCTCTCAAATCCCCCATCTCTGACTTGCACCCCAGCTCTTGTATGAATAAATAAATCTTTATGCATAAATTTTTTTTAAAATAATAATAAAATAAAATCATTTCTGTGTTTGCTTCAGCAGCACATATACTAAAATTGGAATGATACAGAGAATATTAGAATGGCCCCTGCACAAGGATGTCACACAAATTCGTCCTGTGACCCTTTCCTGAAGATCAGGAAAATCCATGAGTGAAAGCACAATGTATGATGCTCATAGTGAAATTCAGTGTAAAAATATTCATATGAACTTATTCCCCTAAATCATATACAGACTTGTAAGTCAATGTTACTTTAAAGAAGGTGAAATTTTTTTTTAATGTCATTTCTGGGTGCAAGGATTAAGAGGCAACTTATGAAGCTATCCGCAGCCACTGCAGCATTAGTTCGATTCCCCGACCAGGGAGCAACCCACATGGCGCAGCAGACCTCTCCTGTCCCGCCCACTGCTCCCCTCAGCAGTGTACTTCAGTCAATCTGCCTGTTCTGTTCCCCACGTTGTCTCTGGTGAATCCTCTCACCTCCCCCCACACAAACTTCTGGCCTGTACCCCAGCTCTTCTATGCATAAATAAATAAATCTTTTTTTTTTTTTGGTCCCTCGCCGGTGGCCGGGGAACAAACCGGCGCTGCAGAGGCTGTGGGCAGCCTCGCAGCCCAGCGCTCAACCACTGCGCCACCAGAGGAGGCCCTACATAAATCTTTTTAAAAAAATAAAAAATATATCATTTCCGCACAATTCCTCTGCTGCTGTCTTTCTGCATTCAGCTTTCTGTTTCTGAGATTCAGTTATTCAGCATCTCTGCTGCATAATATTTCATTGTAAAAAGAAACCACTATTTATTTACCCAAACCACTTTTGGGTATTTGATTTGTACCAGTTTCTGTTATTACAAAAATGTTGCCATGAACATTAGGATATTTCTCCTAATATATGTGTGAAAGAATTTTTAGGATATACATCTACAAGTGGAATTGTTGGGTCTTAAAGTATGTGTGTTTAAGTTTACTAGGTAATGTTCAATTGTTCTCTAAATTGATTGTACCAATTTTCATTCCCATCAGCGTGTATTAAAGTTCCTCTTGCTCCACACCTTTGCTAGCCTTTTCTTTTACAGGTATGAAATGATTTTTCATTATTGTCGTGATTTATATTTCTGCAATTATCAGTAAAATTTAGCAACTTTAATGTTTAGTAGTCATCCTTGTTTTCTCTTTCGTCAGACATGTCTTTTGTGCTATTTAATGTATTTTGAGAAATCCTTCCTGAACCTGTGGATATAAAAATATTCTCTTATATTTTGAAAGTTTTAAAGTTCTGCTATTTACATTTAAGGTCACATTCCATGTGAAATTCACTTTTCCTTTCATGTGCAATGCCATAGCTATCTTATAATTGATTCCATTTATATCCTCTGTTTTGTATTTGCCCTATCTCTGTGCTAGTACGAGCACAGTACTCTGTGCTGTAGCTTTATGTTAATTCTTAATTTCTGATGATGGGAATCCTACCCTAACTTACTTCTTTTATAAAAATTCCTTTTTTAATTGATAGAATGTTGGTTTATAACATAATATGTTTCAGCTGTATAGCATTATGATTTGACATCTATATACACTACATCATGCATCATGCATCACCAAGAATCTACTTTCTATCCACCACTACAAACTCACACACCACCTTCCCCTCAGTAACAATAAAAACAAAGAATCCAATTAAAAATGTACAGAGGGCCTCCCTGGTGGCGCAGCGGTTGAGCGCTGGGTTGCGAAGCTGCCCGTAGCCTCTGTGGCGCGGGTTCGATCCCGGGCTGCTCCCCTGCCACCGGAGGAGGGTCCCAAATGGCACGCAGACCTCTCCTGCCACCCGCTACTCCCTTCAGCAGTGTACTTCGGTCCTTCTGCCTGCTATGCTCCCTGCTCTGGCTCTGGTGAATTCTCTTGCCCTCCCACATTCTGACTGTACCCAGTGCTTGTATAAATAAATAAAGACAAATCTTTAAAAAAAAAAAAAGAAAAGAAAGAAAAAAGAAAAGAAAAATTAGCAGAGGGTCCAAATACATTTTTAATAGATTTATTTATTTATGCATACAAGAAATGGGGTACAGACTAGAGGTGTGGAGGGTGAGAGGATTCACCAGAGACAGAGTGGGGAGCAGAACAGGCGATCTACTGAAATCCACTGCTAAGGGATTTCAAGTCAGGAGAGGTCTGCTGTGCCATGTGGGTCACCTCCCTGGCTGGAGATCGAACTCATGCTGCAGAGGCTGCGGATAGCTTCATAGTGCTACATCTTAACCCTTTGCGCCACCAGGGAGACCCCTGAATACATTTTTCACCAAAGTATGTAGATAGCCAACAGACACAGGAAACAGTATATTTCAGGCCTCCCTGGTGGCACAGGGTTTAAAGACAGCACTATCAAGCTATCTTCAGCCACAAGAATTTGATCCTGGCCAGCCAGGGAGCTAACCCACATGGCACAGCAGACCTCTCCTGCCTCGCCTGCTGCTCCCCTCAGTAGTGTATTTCAGTAGATCTGCCTGTTCTGTTCTCCACTGTTTCTGGTGAATCCTCTCACCCCCGTATCTCTGGCTTACACCCCAGTTCTTGTATGCATAAATAAATAAATGTTTTTAAAAAATGCTTTTTCACTTAGGAGGGTAGACCTCAGACCCCAAGCCATAGAGGATTGGACCCTTAATTCAGCACATTTATTGGGACTTAACTACCATCAAGCTACCATGTTACACATAGAATACAACTTAAATGGTGTGTCCTGCACAGAAACATCAATTCCAAAGAACACCTGCACCCCTATGTTTATAGCAGCATTATTTACAATAGCTAACCTTTGGAAACAGCCCAAATGCCCAAAAATAGATGGCTGGATCAAGAAGATGTGGTACATATATACCATGGAATATTACTCAGCATTCAAAAAAGATAAACACATGCAATTTGCAGCAACATGGATGGCGCTGGAAGGGATCATGCTCAGCGAAATAAGCCAAAAAGAAAAAGAAAAATACCGGATGGTCTCACTCATAGCAGGAATCTAGAAAACTTAAATAAGGGACCAGGAAAATGAATAACTATGAGAAAGTGAAAATCAAAATCAACAAAAAACTATGAACCAGAGACACTTTTTGGGGGGTGAGGGTTGGGAGGGGAGGGATTGGGGTCAGAAAAGGGTGGTTGCAATTGTATGGGGAATATAAAAATAAAATTAAGTCATATAAAAAAAAAAAGTACCAAAAAAAAAACAAAAACATTACATTAGATACACATTCAGTCACTTGTGTTGCCCAGGTTTCTAAAAATGATATGAGGCTAAATGATAAACTAGCCTCACATGTCTGTGTGAATTTTATTTCAATTCTCCCAATATATCTTACCAATCTTGCTTTTAAAAAAAAAAAAAAAGGTGTGTCCTAGAATTGTACTAAATGGAGATCCTGATCACTGCGCAAGTCATAAAGGACAGAATGGTGAGCAAAAGCAGATGGTCCTGGAATCTGTGGGTGAATATGGTCCTCAATCAATTATTAGGTTACAGCTGAGATAAATATGCTGAAGGAATAGCATGTGGTCCTATGTAAAATAAGATTGGAACAGGTGGAACCCAACAATGGCAAATAGGGAGTATTTGCTCTTACCTTCTCCCATGATGACAGCAAATCTACACTTAAATATAAACTAATCAGACCTCCCCGGTGGCGCAGCGGTTGAGCGCTGGGTTGCGAAGCTGCCCGCAGCCTCTGCAGCACGGGTTCGATCCCCAGCTGCTCCCCTGCCACCAAAGGAGGGTGCCACATGGTGCGCAGATCTCTCCTGCCGCCCACTGCTCCCCTCAGCAGTGTACTTCGGTCCTTCTGCCTGCTCTGCTCCCCGCTCTGGCTCTGGTGAATTCTCTCACCCTCCCGCGCTTCTGACTGTACCCAGTACTTGTATAAACAAACAAACAAATAAATAAATAAAACATGCCTCTATAAAAAAAAAATATATATATATATACATATAGACTAATCCACATAGAAGCAAATTTGAAAACCAGGTGAATAGAGCTTCCACAACAAGGAATAAAAATGGCAGCACCCAGGGCCTCCCCGGTGGCGCAGCGGTTGAGCGCTGGGTTGGGAAGCTGCCCTCAGCCTCTGAGGCGCCGGTTCGATCCCCGGCTGAGGGTCCCACATGGTGCGCAGACCTCCCCTGCCGCCCGCTGCTCCCCTCAGCAGTGTACTTCGGTCCTTCTGCCTGCTCTGCTCCCCGCTCTGGCTCTGGTGAATTCTCTCACCCTCCTGCACTTCTGACTGTACCCAGTGCATGTATAAACAAAACAAACGAATAAATGAATAAAAACACATGTCTCTTTATTAAAAAAAAAAAATGGCAGCACCCGGAGAGACAGAGAGACCATTTTGCCAATGAAGAAATACCATCTTGGGGGAAATCAGGTGCAAATGAGAAATCATCTCTAAGGCAGGGAACTGTACTCTGGGAGAAGGGGGCGGGCTATGCCAACACTGGCACCTAAACCCTGCCATCCAGCATAGCAGAAACCAGGTCCAGGAACCTAAGCCTTGAGGGCCAGAGGGATTCGAGTGCAGAAAACTAGAGACTAGGTTCTGGCCCTTAGTAAACATGAAGCTGACTCACTTGCCCTGGGACACAAGATAATAACGCTGACCTGAACAGCACCCAAGATCTACTATCCCAGATACTATTCTTGCAGTGCTGGTCAGGGGATCAAGGTACACTAGATAGCTGGAGTCACTGGCAGCACCATCCTGGCAAACTTTCAAGACCTTGCTGATAACAGTGCAGCTGGCACCATCTCAGAACTCACCCTTCGTATTATTCGATCCTAAGGAGTAAAATATGATTGGGTGGGGCACTGAAGCGGCCAAAGTCTCTGGGCCAATCACCTGTGACTCAAGTAGCCTGTCCATTCACACCAGAATGTCATGGCTCCATGGACATGGTGGAGAAACACTGGCTTAAGAAATGGACTTGTTAAGAAAAAAAAGAAATAGACTTGTAATTTTCTCATGAGAAATTTGGTAGTACTCATATACAGATTTGCGTACAGCAGTTCATCCAGGCCTTGCAGGCATTATCTCTTCCAATTCTGCCACTCACATTACAGTTTTGTCTGAGGCCTGTTAT